ACGTGAATTTGTAAACCAGGTTGCCTCCCAAACACACACAAACATAAGAAGTATGATTCTAAGAAGTTTAACACTGACCTAAAGTTTTTTACAAAACCCAGATCAGAACTGAGCTAACTCCAACACCATCACCCATTCTAGGTTCTCACTTTGGGATAAAGCCTGAGAAACTAGATCTTTCACAAGTCCCAACCCCCTTCCCCAGTTCACAGTGATAATCAGTTGATTTTGAGAACCACTGCTTCCGATGATAACTAATTTATTGCAAAATGTACTGCTGGCCAGGCTTCATTTCACGTATCAGCGTAGCCAGGACAACATAGGAAATGACCATGGAAAAACAGATGAAAGGGACATGCAGATACAGAAGGGAAGGCCAAGGCCACTCTGATCTTGGAAGAATTTGGGTAGAAAAAGAAACTGCATTGGTCCAGAGCTGCCCAGACAATGCCAGGCCTGGGAAAACCTGAGAAGAGAATAAAATCTATCCTTGAGTCTCTCCCAATTCCCTTCGACTCTAATAGGACCCCCAATTGGCCAGACTGACCCCTAACAGGCTAGACTACCTGACAACATAATTTATGTTAAAGCATTAATGACAACTTGAATCTGCCTCCCAGCGGCACAGATTTTTTAATTTCCATTTTAATAATGGTCACCACCAGAAGCCTTAATCCCAAAGAAATCATCTCTAAGTATAAATTCAGACACTAAGGAAATAAGTGAATGTGGGTAGCAGGAAATAGGAGGGGATGGGGAAAGGAAGGAGAGGAAGTTTTTAGGCAAGTGCTTCCTCCGTGTACATTAAGACCACACCCAAATATTTACTGAGCACCTGCTACATCTGTGTGTCGGGACAGAGAGAGCAGTCCTGTTGGCTTTGGGGTAATGCCCAAAGAACCAAGGAAAATACTTCATGTAACGGAGGAGAGGAGAAAATGTATTATTAGACCATGACAGGTTTTCAATGACCCTACTCTGTGTTGTGTTACACCTGCGAAGCTTTTGGTAGGTTTTAAATATGCTCCTTGGATTTTTAGATTAGCCAGATGGCATTCCAGTTGTCACTCAGGGTCTTTTAAAATAAATAACTGTCACTTCTCTGAAAACAACAACAGGATCTTATGCAATCAGAGCTCCTTGAGGAGTGTCCAAAGAAAGGTACCAGCCTTTCCCCACAATTAAGTGCAAAACCTTTTCAAAAAAATTGTCCATGTGAAATTTGGGACTGAGTGTCTCCATTTTGAAGCTTCTATGCCCAGGGCTGACTCTGGGGATTCATCCACACAGGGTTCCCAAGAATCAGGCATGGAAAGCACTGGGTGTTCATAAGCCCAGCCCAGGGAGGGGAGCAGCACCTGTGCACCTGAATCAGGAAGTCACAGCCTATCTTTGGCCTGCACATTTTGGCACACATCCCTCCCCCTCTCTCAGGCTTTTGGAAAAGCCACAGTTGCAGCAATCTCATTAACAGATGTGGGTCTCTATGAGTATTTCACATGTCATATATTTTATATGACATCTTCTAAAAGTCAAGCCCGGGTTGTTTTTTTTAAGTAACTCCACTTAAGTGAGCCCAAAGCTTGGCACTAAGAGGACAGCTTATCCAAACACAAAAACAAAAGGATGTGGGAAACAAGAGGGCCTGGGAAGCCCTGCAAAATCTCACCCCTCCATCACCGAGTCACTGTGACAGTGGTAAGACGTGACACTCTCCTATCCATTCCCACATTTACTTGCTTTTGGGGAACCTTTAGCAAACGCTTCCTAAGTTACTGGGCTTTCTGTATCAAACTTGCAACATTTTTTAAACATAGTTCAGTATACAACCTTATATATCCCTTTTTCCTGAAAAGCTGCTGAGTGAGTTCTACGAAGAGGTCCCAGAAGTAAACATCACGAGTTAGTCTAAAGAAAGACTGCTAAATGAAGTGTAGGTATTTAATATATATGTAAATTTTACATAAATTACATATAATATTAGTAAAATATACTACCTATTAATTTTTAACATATATGTATCATATCGTATCAGGAAAACATATTAAGGAAGGGATAACAAGAATTAAAACCATGAAGTATAAACTGTCTAATAAAAAAAATACTATGACTGCTGGCCTTGAGTAAAATATTATACTCCTTCATCCCATGTTCAAATGATATTAGTTGCCCCAATCAGCAGCTTTAACCAGAGGACAAGAAGATGCCAGATCTTTGAGGTCAGAAGACAAAACTGACAAAGGGCACCCAAGAAAAGTTCACTGTGTCTTAAAATCTGTAGACAAGAGAGGGTGAGAATAAGTTTAGCCTGTTTATCACATGCTGGAATTCGACTCAAGTCATTTCACATCTATCTCCTATTTATTGTAAATGTATACAGCCTGCTCCGTGAAAACTGACACCAATGTTGGCAAAATACAACAAAGCTTCCTTTCTGACATGTCAAACAGATTTTGTTAAAAAAAAAAAAAAAAATCTGAGCTCCAAGAACACAAATCGTAGAGCACTGAGCTCCTGCAAGCAATTAGCTTGTTATAATATCTCTCCCACAGCTGCTAAAAGGCTATTTCAACCTGTAAAGATTTCTGGGCCCCATCAGTCAGCACCTCTCACGGTCTTCACAGCCCCAGATTAAGGGAGACAATGCATCTAATACGAAGAGCGGCTGGGGACGGTGGAGGATACCTTCACGATAGTTGCTTCCAGAGAAAGGCATGCAAGTGTTATTTTAACGGCAAGAATCACTTACTCTGTTACAGCGGTGCTGCTGAAGGAATTATCCTGAAGGCTGAAACAGAAACAAGAAAACATCAGCCAAGTCCGGCCGGGGAGCCGTCTCCCTGATTGCTCTCCCGGAGTTAGAGCATACACACAAACATGGCATTGCAAGGCAAGTCTCAGGGCTCGCCCGGCACGCTCGCTCTACCTTGGGCTGCTGTCTGCACATGCTCGTAACGACACCCCCAGCTGGGGCCCAGCCGCACGGGCGAACCACAAAGCCCGGCAGCCGCGAGGCTGCGGGGACAGAGCTGGGCGGGGCGGGGCGCGGCTGCAGGGCGGGCCCCGGGCTCCCGGGCTCCCGGGTTCCCCGCAAGGAGCGCCTGGGGAGTCACGGCGACCCCGACCTCGCCAGCCCCGCGCGGCGTTTAATCCAGGCTTCTCGGTGCCAGCCACCCCCGGGCTGGCAATGGGAAAGCCCAACCGTTCCTGCCTAGGTGCTGAAATCCCTGGGAGACTTGCTTTCTTCCAGACGTCTCCTGCCAATTTTACACAGCTACCCCCTCTAGGGATAGGAGGCTGGCAGAAATTCATCCGTCGGGAGGGAACCAGAACCGGGAGGAGGACATAGCTGCTGTTATTGCTGTGTGTGTGTGTGTTTGTGTGTGAGTCTGTGTGTGTCCTGCTTTTCATTGCCCTGGAAAAAGAAGAACCTTTGAAGGAGGGCTCACTGCATCACACCCGCGCTCACACCCGCGCTGTTTGCACTGTCATTTCAGTCTCCGAGAGGAAGCGCCCAGCCTCGGACGACAGGGCTGTGAATGAGCCCACGCGGGGCGAGTGGAGGATTTATTGCTGGCAGGACTGGGCACTGGGGGGCGGTGTGAGGGGGTGGGGTTTGCTACGCCCAGAGTAGCCCGCCTAGGCTGCATTCCCAAGCACGCTCACAAAGGGTGAGAGATGGAATCCACAAAAGCCATCCTCTTTAAAGAAAGGCAGCCCTGTTGGGGAAAGGGAAGGCTGTCCGGCCCCCACTTGCTTCATTCCCCTGGGGATATTTGTCCTGCCCTCTTTCCATTGTTCCTGTCTCCTGCCAGCTTGACCTTGATATGGAATGAACAGTCATCTGTGAAAGACGCTGATTTTAATTCCTGAATTAAGTACATTCCCCAGGCCCCTGTTTAAATCCGACACTCTCAAAAGCAACTGAGATGGTGTGTTTTAGTCCAAACCGTATCAGGGGATGAGTTAATTTACAATAACAAAACAAAACAAAACAAAACAAAAAAACCCCAAAATTTTACTTTCGGATAATTAGAAAAATTACCCAAAACTTGATAATAAGGGAGGAAATCATGACCTTTCAGGGTCACACTGAGGCACTGTTTTACAGATCCACCCAAGGACTGCTTAATTCTCTAGGAAAATACACTTGGATTTGACGTTGCTATTCATTATTGGTTAGACCTCAGACACTGGAGTTAGGTGTTAAGTTGTACATTTTGTCCAATTTGTCTGAAGGAAAATATAACTTCAATGTTTATGGTATTATTGCATTGTGCAAATTTAAGCAATTTTGTATCTAACCTAACAATCTTATATGAACATTTTTCTAAATGCCTGGAAATATTCAGATGCTCTTGGTTCCCAAAGCACCACATTCTTATAGGTTCCCTCATTAATAAATTAATAGATTTTTGATGTGTGCCTATAGTTGTATGAAAGTCATGTTTTTAACTTTAAAAGTTACACTTTGAAAAATCAAAATTCAGTTTTCAAAGAAAAATAGATTTCATTAAGGTCCTTGGCAATTTTATTTTCCTCACTCCAAATATTTGAAAAAGTAACTGAATAAAAACCTAATATGGTCTTAGGCCTGAACTCTATGGACTATAATAAGTTTAGAAATATTCATCCCATACAGTATATATATGTTCCTAAACCACCGACTGCCTCATATGAGCAAGATTCAGGAGTGTTAGACACAGCCTTTTCACTATGTAAATGTATTCATTATTTAGCTGTCACAAACAGAGATCTATTCTATTTTACAGAGACCAGTAAAGGTAAGTGTATTCTCAGCACTCTTGGCTCTGCTCTAAAGATTTGAAGGTTGCCAATGTTCAGAAAACCCTTTTACTCATTGTCTAAGGTGCTAATTTCTCATGTTCTAATTCAGAGAAAGATCATACTTTTCTCATTTAAGTATTCCCAGTGATCCCTTTGAAATGAGAAAATGTTATGCCTTCGAATTTGAAACAGGACTTGGACACTGTGAAATCATGTGGGTCCCTCACAAATAACATAACAACTCTGAGGTGAGTTCAAAAAGAGAAGCAGAAAAGCTAATATTGGCATCCTGGAAGAAAATGAGTTCTAGAGCAGTGTTTCCCAAGGTGTCCTCAGTGAAATTCCAGTTTCCCAGATGGTCCAAGAAAAGAAAAAAGAGAGTTACAGGGTCAAAATTAAGATTTTGAAACTTAAACATCTACTTCTTGAACAACATGGGTTTGAACTGTGTGGGTCCACTTATGTACAGATTTTTTTTTTTATAAATATAGTACAGTAAATGTGTTTTCTCTTCCTTATGATTTTCTTTTTTTTTTTTAAGATTTTATTTATTTATTTGACAGAGAGAGATCACAAGTAGACGGAGAGGCAGGCAGAGAGAGAGAGAGAGAGAGGGAAGCAGTCTCCCTGCCGAGCAGAGAGCCTGATGCGGGACTCGATCCTAGGACCCTGAGATCATGACCTGAGCCGAAGGCAGCGGCTTAACCCACCGAGCCACCCAGGCGCCCTCCTTATGATTTTCTTAATAACATTCCTTTTTCTAGCTTACTTTGTTGTAAGATGCATATAATACACATAACATACAAAATCCATGTTAATTGACTATGTTATCAGGAAAGCTTCCAGTAAACAATAGGCTATTATAAAGATTCGGGGAGAAAAAAAGTTATACGTAGGTTTTCAACTGTGTGGAGGTCTGTGCTCCTGACCCTCACGTTGTTCAAGGGCCAACTATATATTATAAATTCATAATGCACATTAGGCAGCAAAAAAAGTGTTTCTCTTTTTTTCATAACTTTTTAGCCTTTTTTTTGTTTTTATTTAAATTCCAATAATTTACATAGTGTTATATTAGTTTCAGGTGTACAATATACTGATTCAACCCTTCCATACGACACCTGGTTCTCATCATGGACAAGTGCATTCCTTAATCCCCATCACCTATTTCACCCACTCCCCCAGCCTATACCCTCTGGTAACCATCAGATTGTCTTCCGTAGTTGAGAGTCTGATTCTTGGTTTCTCTCTCTCTCTCTCTCTCTCTCTCTCTCTCTTTCCCCCTTTGTTCATTTGTTTTGTTTCTTAAATTCCACATATGAGCAAAATTGTATGGTATTTAACTTTCTCTGACTGACTTATTTCTCTTAGCATAATCCTCCCTAGTTCCATCCACATCTTTGCAAGTAACAAGATTTCACTCTTTGTTATGGCTGAGTAAACGCCATTGTATATGTATATACCATATCTTTATCCATTCTTCAGTCGATGGACTCTTGGGCTCTTCCCGAATTTGGCTATTGTAGATAATTCTGCTATAAACATAAGGGTGTATGTATTCCTGTGAATTAGTATTTTTGTATCCTTTGGATTGATACCTAGTAGTGCAACTACTGCATCATAAGGTAGTACTATTTTTTTAAAGATATTTATTTATTTGACAGAGAGAGACACAGTGAAAGAGGGAACACAAGCAGGGGGAGTGGGAAAGGGAGAAGCAGTCTTCCCGCCCAGCAGAGAGCTGGATGCGGTGCTCCATCCCAGAACCCCTGGATCATGACCAGAGCTGAAGGGAGATGCTTAACGATTGAGCCACCAAGGTGCTCCAAGGTAGTACTATTTTTAAATTTTGAGGAAACTCCATACTGTTTCTCTAAGTAGCTGTACCAGCTTGCAAAAAAGCTATTTCATCTTTTTAACCAATATTTCTCAAACTCATTGAAGACCCAACAGTTTTTTTTGTTAAATATATTATCCATTAACATCACATTGAGCTAGGAATTTTGAGAAAAGATTTCCTAAGTATATCAGGGAAAGGCCACAAAACAGATTAACTGGTATAATTATTCATTGGACAGATAAATGAATGAACCAATGATACTACATACTTGCCACTATCCATAGCTATGAACAAGATGGACAACACCCCTGTCATTAAAATCATTTCAGAGTAAATATGTATATATGTATGTGTACATGTATATAACATACAATGTATATATTATATGCATGACCTTATTTTTTAAATGGAACAAGGGGAAATGAAGAAGCAGGATTTGAACATGGCTAATTTTTACAAGTTAGAAGTTTCAATGTTTTACTTTTTCTATCAGTGCTCTTAAAACCCGTATCAGAATTTCAGATTTAATAACAATAGTCTTTTTATTATAATTGAAAAAAAATAATTCCAGTGTACTGGCTTGCTATATACAAAATATAAAGCAATAACATAGTGGTCAAGAAGGAAATTTCTAGAGTCGCCAGTGTTTAAGATCCACCACCTAGTAGTAGTTGGAACTCAGACAACCACTCCATGCCTCAGTTTCCTCATGGACTATAATAAGTGAATGAAGACAGTGAAGAAAATAATAACCTGTCTCATGGGTTCTAATGGAGATTAAATGGTATGACTGAAAACAACAAAAAGGTCTAGTAGATGCTCTTTTCATCATCATTTTCATTTTTATTACAATAACTAAGAATATATAAACTTGAATGTTGGAACAGGATGAACAAACTGCTGTGCTTGGTAGTAGGTTTACAAATGGTATTTTCTTTCTATTTTCCATAATGCCACAGTGTTTAATACGTTTTTTAAAAAGAACAATAAAAATGAAAACTTTACTAAATGTAGATGGGCTGCTCTTAAAATGAAAAGAGCTCCATCCAGAATGGCTTTGTGCTCACTTTACAACCCTTTGATTTAAAATACTCGCACATCCCTGGAGAAACATTCAATTCTGAGAAATCACTTTCTGCTAGACACTGTGGCAGGGAGCCAGCATCTTTACAATGCCAGGAAGTCAACGGAGTTGCCTGCTCTACTGGCCTGGACACTGTGACTTGTAGTTTCCTGTCAAGACCCTTGGGAATCACCAAGCTTCCCTGTGGAAAGAGAGGACTCTCGTCTGAAAAGATAATTTTCCAGAAAGAATACTCTCCTGACTCCTTGTCCCCTAATCCTTTCTCTTACCACCCCCCAACATCTCGGCCTGTGATTAGAGGGCCCTCATTATCCAACTGACTAACATCTGAG